TGGATAGCTGTGAGGCTATCAAGGCTACATGCAAAAACGCCCTGCAGGTCTCGGATTTGCAAGTGCCAAGGTTGCAAGGTTTGTTTACAGCTTTCGGGTCCCGAATCCCGGAGCATGAAAGTCCAAGCAGCAAGTACACAGTCGTGGCCCTTCTGTTGCACAGCAGCCTTGTTGTAGCGATAGTAACAACAGTTCCACCACCAACAACAGCAAACACTGCGAGAAGAACAACACGTAAAGAAGAGTCACGAGGAGTGCCAAATAGGCAAGCACAGAAACAAGCCCGGTGACGAACAGTAATGACAAGTACAGCACGAATCATCAGCGACATCACCGTATCATTATCATTGTCGCCCTCACCCTCATCCTCATCATCATCCTCCTCATCCTCATCGTCGTTGTCATCATCATCATCATCACCATCCTCGCCGATTTCATCATCATCAGCAGCTCCTCCACGATCATCATCGTCATTGCCAGCAGCGGCATCATCACCATCATCATCGTCTGCACCATCATCGCAGTCATCATCATCATCATCATCATCATCGTCATCGTCATCGTCACCATCATGTTTAACATCCCAAGACCGTGAAGACTATCGCTGCTCGGATCTGCAGGGGACCGAAGGACTCCGGCGGACAGCCCGTGGAAAGATATGAGGCCTTGATTGGGAGTTTGGAACAGGGTCGCAGGGATTAGGGCACTGAGCCCTGCAAAAGGGTGTTACCCGCGAGGGCTACGCTCAAGGCTCAACCGTGAAACCGTCTCCCTTAAGTCCCAAAATCGGAAATCTGCGTTATTCAAGGCTCCTTCAATCCGAGCAGTGTTCTTCGAGCTTTGCGAGGTTACTGCATCGTCCGTGCTGGGCCTTGCCTTCGAAGCTGAGACGGTGGATTTGCCAGATTCCTAGCGCAATCAGATGGCGTACGCAGTGTGGGACCCCCCTCGGCCCAGTCCGGTGCTACATCGCTTACAATTTTCAGCGAATCAGTCCGATCTGTCTCATGTCTCCATGCTTCGGAAACCGGGCTCTTCTGCTGTGCCGGGCTTGCAATGCCCAGAACCCTGCTCCGGTTTTCATGGGCAAATCCTCGTTTCGATGTTGCACTACAGGTCACTTTGGATCTCATCTTTGCTTGGAGACACCGTCTGGAGCTCAGCCTTTGCGATGATCGTCTTTTCCCGAGAGCAAGACATACTGACATACAATATCGGATGTGATGTTCCCTGAAGCAGAGAGAAGAGCTCCGACTACTCAGACCCAGAACCCCAAGCCCTCCCCTCGAAACAGTAGATTTCCACAACCTGGCCGTGCCATTGGTGTTGAGGACTACAATGTGTCCGTGCTTGCCTGCAACGAAGTTGGATGTTCCCAAGGCACCTGCCGATTTGTCAGCCGGCCACAACATGAAAGGGCTCGGGGTTTAGGTTGAGGCTGCTCCGTCTTCTCGTTTCCAAGGCAGCTCCGGCATCGTCAGCTGTTGCTGTTGCCGCTGTTGGTGTGCTCTTGCTGTCTTTTTTTTTGTTGTTGCTGCTGTTGCCGCCGCCGCCGCCGCTGCTGCTGCCGCTGCTGCTGCTGATGTTAGTGCTGTTGTTCTTGTTGTCGTTGCTGCTGCTGCTGCTGCTGCAGCTGCTCCAGTTTTTGCTGTTGGCGTTGGTTTGGTGTTGGCGTGGCAGTGGTGTAGTATGGTGGTCCTTGAGTCAATTATCAGGGATAGCAGCAGCAGCTCAGCTGGCAGCAGCCAGCACCAGCAACAGCAACGCTAGCAACTGCTTTGAACCCTCAAGCCCGTAGTACGAACCCGCAAGGCCCAAATGCGCAAGCTCGCAGCAAGCAGGGACCCCGTCACTGACGCTCCGCACGCCAGCGGCAGTGCGTGCGCTGTCCCCTGGATGCCCAGAGCCCGTTGAGGCCCACAGGGTTCCGGGACTTCAAGTTTTCGCATTTAGGCTGGGTAAGGTTTCGCCCCTACGAAGTTGAAGCCCTTTGCCGTTGTGCATTGGTTTGTTCGTTCCTTCATTCCTTCGCTTGCTTGTGCGCTGTCAATCCTTGCTAAGAGCGCATCAGATCATGCAGTAAAAGCTCTACGTGGTGGGTCATGGTGGGTCCTAGATGGCAGATCTTGACTGCACCTTAGATCTCCAAATCGCCCCTGAGAACTAAGTGCGGCGACGATACCCAGCCTCCTCACATGATTGAGGGTTCAGCCTGACCCTCCCCGCAGCGTTCTGGCTGCCTACAGCAGTTGGTCGAGCAAGTGCAGGGCCTCTCATATGTTCCTTGCGCTTCAAGTCAACTTGGGGTCATGCAGCCGCCCACTGCAACCTCTAAAGACTCTAAAGGGGACCTGCTCGGCCCCATAGGCACTCATCGGGTATGTTTCGATCCCACCGAGGATGTACCAGCTTCCAGACACTGCTTACAACATGCCTAATGAAACCGCAACCCTGAGAAGCTAGGCCGACAAACACCTTTAAACGTCACACTTCAGCCGGCATGGATGACAAAGATTTCGAGCGTGCGCTGGAGCGTGTGTTGACCAGTCACGTGGAAGGTCAGTTCATAAGCGCCTTGGTCTTGTTGCAATCAGGGCCAGCGCAATCATGTTAGGGTCCCTAAACCCCTGAGCCCTGCAGGCCAAAGCCTCTGCAAGTCGCAACCCGATACGAGGTCTCCACTCCCCTGCAACCAAGGGCTGACAGATTCGGGGTTCCGGTGAGTTCGGGGTCGGATAAGTTCGAGGTTTGTTGGTTCTGGATGTCTTTGAAGCTGATGACTTGGTGGCTTGTTAGAACAGCTGACGATTGCTCGGTCATTGCAAAGCTTCCGCAGACCAAGCAAGGTAAGCTCGATCACATCCTCACGATCAAGTTCGATGAGTGGTCTGCTCAGCATCGTGCTGCTCAGGAACAGATTCTTGTGGTGCCTTGTCTGCAAGAAGGATGCTTCAAGGAGTTGTAGTGGTAATTTGACTGTAGCAGGGAGGAAAATAGCCGGCAAGGGAAGTCTAATCTGAGCCGCCCCCTGTCTCCATCCTCAGGCAATTCAAGGGATCCAGTCGCAGAATGTCTTCGGAGGAAGGCGCAAGAGCGAGCGCCATGTGCCCGCCGAAAGCTGCTCGATGCCGTTCTATGGGCCCATTCTGTATTCTATCGTGTACTCTGGACATAAGGAGTTAAAGACGTCCGCGGCAGAGAGCTTGTTTTTTCAATTGAAAGGCACCCATGCGCTGGCATCAGCAGATTATGCATGACATACTATCCGGCGCGACCTGAAGCCAAGGCTCGCACGCCACGCTGGTCCAGTTTCAGACGTGCCGGGCTTGAACGTGTTGGGTCAGGCGTATAAGAGTTTCTCCAATCCTGAGAGCCTAGCAATTGACTGCGGTTGTCCCATCCTTCGGGTTGACTGCGGGGGATTGAGGCATCGGCGTGTTCACTCCATCTCGGGCATGTGAGCTCAGGATTTTGTTTCATGGGTATTCGTCTTTTGTAAAATATATAGCGCCATTCGTCATCGTCGTGGTCATGTTGATGGTTGCTGCTCATGTTGATGCCCAGGTTTTGGCTGCTTTTCATGCCTATATTTTGTCTGCTGGACGGTGTCATCAGCATTATCATCGCTATCGTCCTCCCCTATCGCCTATCACTGTAGTCTTCCTGTCTTAATCTCAGATGCACCATAACTTTCACCACATCATCACCGTCACCATCTTCACTGGAATCTTCGTAGTCACCACAGCCACTGCCCTAGTCTTTGCTGATGCTTGTCTGTCAGTCCATCCACGCCAACAACGTGAAGCACCACCTGTGTTTTTGAGTCCCTCGACGTCCGGTAGTTTTGATGTCGGTTTTTCAGGTTGTGCCCAGCATTCGCAACTCCACACACTGCCCACAAGCAAATGAAGCCATCCAACACCCGAACGGAGCACTGAACAGCCACAACCGCTGCCATGCACACAGCCTTTCCTCAGAGTCTGAAGCCGAGGTCGGTGGACCCTCCGAAGCGGTTGAGCCGGCATAGTCGGCATAGTCACGGAGACTCCCCCCACCAGGCCCGATGCAACGATTAATTTGGCACAAGTACCCCCCCCCCCCCCAGCAATCCCACGCATGTCTACCCACATGTCCGCCAAGAATCGTTACATTACCGCTGAATGTGCGTGTGTGTGTAGTGTACACGATCATACACATGCACGTCTTTGCACATGCAGACATACGTAGATACACACATCATGCACCTATGCAATGCTATATATATATATATATATATATGCACATGTTCTGCTGCCACACTGTCTGTGTTCTGGCCTTTCCCGCAATCTAGTCAGTGGCGTTTGCAGCTCGTGGAAGCTCGTGCAATGTCATGGTGGCTCCATGGATCCAAATTATACAAGGATCGTGTTCCATCAGGCCCTTTGAGGATGTTACCAAGCACAAGATGCGGCATGATCTCGTGACTAACGGGTTGCTTTGAGCTGTTGCATCGGCTATCCTTCTGCAAAGGAGTTCATGTGACAACGTGCCAAGCTTTGCCTCTGTCGGTGGACAAGCAATATTACTGAACACCGCAGTCCTGGCTGTTTGGGGGCCTTGTCTCCGTCCCTTGCGGTGATTCGGCTCCTTCGTGCTTTCGTCATGGGTAGCCTCAGTAATTAGGCGTAGCAGCCTAAATGCACTGATGTTTGAGAAGTCTCGAGGTCTCTCCGTATCACGAAGCCTCATCTCCTTTGTGTGTTTCCACAGTTTGGGATCTAGTGCCAAACCGTATACCCGGACCCGAAATGCCAAACTTGACGCAATCCTAAGCCTCGCAGGTGCAAACACCGGTTGATCGCTCCAAGGCCGGGCTCGTGAGTTGTTCTTATAGGACTTTCTGCCTCAAGAGTGAGCTGCTGCATGCTGCTGCTGGTGCTGAATTCTTGCGAGTAGAGGGCCCTGCATGCCACTTCGTTATCCATGCCCCAATCCTTGGAAACAAGCGTAGTCGATTGCTAGGAAGGCCGAACCGATGCCTCACCACAGTCTGATTCGTCGTGTCCCTCTACGTACTGCCATCGTGTCTGCCAACTCAACCGCAGCCTTGCATCCGGAAGGAACCAGTGCAGAGCTTGCACGACCTGGAGACTAGTATCCTCAAGGAGGGAGTCTGCCACAAGAAAGTCTGCTAAGTCTGCTAAGTTTGCTTAGGAAACTGCGTGGTGACACTATGGGGTTCTTGCATTTTGTGCAAAGAAGATTAAGTACTACGTCGTTGTTCCCGCGAGGCATGCACAGCAGGCCGCCTACGGCTGTGGTGCCGAGCGTTTTGTTGGACAAAGTTGCGTTAGTTCCACAGTCCTCAGTATCGCCGATTCCCCGTCTTCCCGGGAGCTCATTTCGGCTGTTGCGGGGAACGACTCAAAACGCTCGAAGCGCCTCAAATCCTTGCAGGGCCAGGCTATGAGACTCCTCGGGTCCATGGTGTGGACACCTTATCCCGCAATCATCGGATGAACGACTTTCAGGGTGGTGCAATCCGGCCTGCCTCTAGCTTCATTGTCCAATTGCTGTGGTGGTGGTGCGCGTGGTCTTGGCGGTCCTGCTTCGTGCGGTCGTTGCAGTGCTCCTGATCGGGGTGCTCGTTCGTGGTCGTCGTGTTGGTCCTCGTGGTCCTTGTCTTGGGTCGTCGTCGTGGTGGGCCTGGTGGTCCTGGTCGTGGTGGTGTTTGCCTTCGGAGTGGGTGGGATGTGTGGTCTTTCCCTGTTCGCTTTTCTCAAAGGACCAACCAGGATTGTGATGATCATCATCTCATCGTCATCGTTATGGTGGTCGTCAGCATCATCGTCGCCGCCAACATCATCATCTCCATTACCATCACCCCCATTCACCATCATCACCATCATCACCATCATCACCATCTTCGCCACGATCGCCACCATCGCCACGATCGACACGATCGCCACGATCGCCATGATCGCCATGATCACCATCATCCTCATCATCATCATCATCACCACCATCATCATCCCCATCCTTGTCATCACCACTGTCGCTTCCATCGCCACCATGTTTCCCATCGTCTACACCAAGTCTATCACCGTCAACACCACTGCACCATCGTCATCACCATCATTTTTCTTTTGGTGTCACATCTGAATCTAGCCTTTTCCATCATCGCGGCTATCGCTATCATCATCATCATCATCATCGTCGTCATCGTCATCATCAGCATCCACATTGTTCTTCATCAGGACTTTTTGACCCCTCTTCAGAAATAGGGTCTGGCCGTTTGTTGCTCCGAGCTTTCAAAGCTCGATCTTTGGGCTAGATTCGGCTAGATCGATCCTGGTACTGTAAACTCTACACACGGCACGAGATGTTTCTGGAGTCGTGGAGGTCCTTCGGCGAGAGGGTGGAAGAATGAACTGGTGACATTCGGTGGTTTGTCGTCGTGGGACAATGTCAGGAGTCTACGTTGTGGGAGAGTGCCCAACCGTGCAGGACATCGCGAACATCACAGTCAAGAAAGTCGCTTCGCGCACGTCCCGCAAGAGTTGGTCAGATGGTGCTCCCGACACTCGGTTGCTGAGGTGAAATGATTTGGTTTCTTCAGCTGTCGATGTGTGAGGTAGTGTGATATGTCCTTGCGTGGTGCATGCAGCATACCTGTGATTGCGTCGCACAGAACTTGTAGTTGCGACATAACGGACGAATCCGCATGACGCTCTCAGTGCACGGCATGCAAGAAGTAGGTGTCATACCATATCCTGTTGTAGTGTATTATGTTATAGCATATTCGACCTCATCATATTATAGCTCCTTATGTTGAATATTTCGTGAAATCACATGACATTGTATTATGTCATATTATACGAGCTCATGTCATACCCAATGCTTTCATTATATTGTCTCCCGTTGTATTTTGTTGCAGCATATAACGTTATCTCGTCTTAATTTTGACCCTATGTAACACAAAATGTTAAATCTTATCATATTGTTCCGTCATATTTCACAGTGTTTTATTTGTCATACAATTTTGTATTGAACTCTGTTCTGTTCATGTCATTCTCACCTGCTCTCTTACATTATGCTCAACTGTCGTGTATTATACTGTGTGGGTTGTATCAGATTTGTTGGTACTGTGTGGCATTATGTTCATCTTTTATTGCAATATCATATGTATATATGTGTAAACATATATATATATATATATATATATATATATATATATATAAATATGTATGAATATAATATGCGTGTGTGTATATATATGTTCACACTATGTACAGATGATTGTATAGTGTACCGTATTTCATCTTTTGTATCCTAATACCAATATGTTGTGTTGTATTCTAAACTACTATAGTGTTTTTCTGTTACAGTGTATTCGATTATATTCTGCAGTATTCCATTTTGTTCTTGTAGATTTTACTATATCATATCTTACTATATCACACTATATCATACTGGATACTGTATTGTATTACGTCTTATCTGTTCTGTTGTATGCTATTCTATGATACTGTTGCATTCTAGCAGTTTCTTGTGTTCTTTGTGTTTTCCTACATTACTAAAATATATTGTAGTCGTGCAAGATACTGTATTATACTTTCTATGTGTTATCTTATACCACATGTTTACATATACATCTATATGCAGTTACGATGTAGCTTGTGCACATATATCTGTTGATACATGCACATGATTGGTGTATGCATATAGGCTTTGTGTATATATATATATATACATGTATGTATATGTATACACATATGTATGTATGTATGTAAGTATGTATGTTTACAGCTATCTCAGTAGATATATGTAGATGTAGATGCATACGCATATGTTTATGTTTATGTATATGTACATGTATATGTATATGTATGCGTATGTGCATATGTCTATGTCCATGTACATGTAGATGTGGACGTAGATGTAGATGTATGTATGTATGTATGTATATATATATATATGCATATACATGTACAAGTACACACACACACAGACAGACATGTACCCACGCATGCGTGCACACACACACACACACAGACAGACAGACACGCATCCAGGCACCCACACCCGCCCCCTCCACGCACCCCCATGCACCCACGCACCCATGTGCCCGCACACCTGGGCACCCTCGCGCGTGCATGCGCCGCGCACACTTGCACGGACGCGCATTCACGCGCATGCACTCGCACGCACTCACGCACACGCATGTGCACGCCAGTACACGCACACGCACGTGCAAACACAAGAACACACAAGCACG